TTTATATTTATATGCATTTAAATATAACGTTTTATAAAAGTAATAAAGATGAAAGTGCTCTTCAGTTGCGGCTCTTTTCGAATTCCATTTTTTGAATTTTCCAAATTCAAAAATAGAATTCTTTTTGGGGTTTCTTTTTTGCATTTGTTCTTTTATTTTCGATCCTAAACCCTAAACCCTCGACTGCAAACCCTAAACCCTCGACTGCAAACCCCAAACCCTCGACTGCAAACCCTAAACCCTTAAGAAACCCTAATTCTAGACCCTAAACCCTGAAGAAACCCTAAATTGTGGACCCTACACCCCGCAGAAACCCTAAACCCTAGACGCTAAACCCTACGTTGGGGTCTCAAGAGGCTCAATAAACCCTAAACCCTAAACCCTAAACCCTGAATTGTCGACTCGAAGCCCTGAACAAACCCTAAACCCTAATTTGGGGACCCAAACGCCTGAACAAAGCCCAGTTCTGGACCCTAAACCCTAAATTGTGGACTCAAAACCCTCGGAAAACCCTAATTTTAAATTAGTATCTTTTCAGGATTATAAACCCTAAATTGTGGACTCTAAACCCTCAGAAAACCCTAATTTTGAATTAATTTTTTTAGGATTATAAACCCTAAATTGTGGACTCAAAACCCTCAGAAAACCCTAATTTTGAATTAATTTTTTTCGGGATTTTAAACCCTAAATTGTGGACTCTAAACCCTCAGAAAACCCTAATTTTGAATTCATTTCTTTTCAGGATTATTTCAAAGTGCGGTGGAAAGGCTTCGACGAGTCCGACGACACCTGGGAGGTGGAGGTGAGCCCTTTTGATTTTTGGAGAAGTTTTTTTCCAAAAAAAAACTTTATTTATTTTAATTAAAAATAAACAAAGTTTGATTGGATTAGATTTATTTTGGAGTCCAAAAGGAACTCTTTTCTGCCTTTTGGACCCCCCAAAGTTGTGCAGATTCGAAGTGAATTAAATGTTTTCTTTCAAAATAAAAGTTGAACTCAATTCTCGAAATCGGAAATGAAAAAAGACTGATTTCAAAAACTGCGTGGCTTCGGCTGGCGTGCAGTCTGAGGTGTCTGTACACCTGGCTTGTCTGTGCAGTCCAACTTGGCACACGCCCCCATGTTTCATTCCAAGATGCAAGAATTGAGGTGAGTCTTTTTGCAATTGTTGGTTTTATTTCTTTTTTTATTTCTTTAAATTCAGGAGCCCAGCAGCAGCTGCTGCTGGTTCTGCTGCTGCTGCGGCTGCATGCCCGCTGCTGCTGCTCTGCAGGTGCTGCTGCTTGCCTTGCTGCTGCTGCTGCTGCTTGCCGCCGCCGACATTGCCGCTGCTGCGGTTGCTGCTGCTGCAGCTCTTGCTAGCCCCCACGCGCGCTGCTGCTGCTGCTGCTGCAGGAAGGAAGCTGAGCAGAAGGCCCTCGAGCGCGAAGCTGAAGCAGCAGCAGCAGCAGCAGCAGCAGCAGCAGCAGCAGCGCATGCAAAGAAGAGGAAGCGGCAGGGGCCCGTGGAGTCCGACCCCAGCAGGCCCTGCGACGAGGCGCCTGCGGAAAGTGACGAATGCGAATTTCGAATTTACGCCACGGGAACTAAAGTGCCCAAAAATCACCTTCCGGGTATTTAAAACAAATAAAAATGAAAATAAAATTCATTAAAACAAATAAAAAGGAAAATGAAATTCATTGAAACAAACAAAAAGGAAAATTAAATTCAAAATGCTGCATTTCGATCCACTTGGGTCTTCTTCCTAGCTGCTTCCTGCTGCAGGCTCTTTTTGAGTTGTTTCCTTGCCCTTGGCGCTGCTGCTGAATCTAATTTATTTAATTATTATTTTTTGTTATTTTATTTATTTATTTTATTCAAAAAACACTTTTGATTGTTCTGCTTTCGGCGCTGCAGCAGCCAGCGGCGGTGGCTGCTTCTCGGGTGTACATGCACCTGCGCTGCTCGTGGCTTTCCGCCGCTACTTCGAATTTCAGTTTTGTTCTTTCGTCAGCAACAATTGGCTTCTTTGTTAATTTCTTCGAATTAATTATTTCGCATTTTAATTTATTTATTTAATTACTTTCCAGTTTATTTATTTCATTTCAGTTTCCCCCTCTCTCCCGCTGTGCAGACGAACTGGCCCTGGGCAGCCGCCTGAGCATTTTGCGCTTCAAGCGCTCGCCGCAGAGCAGCACGGACCCGCAGCAGCAGCAGCAGCAGCAGCAGCAGCAGCAGCAGGAGCTGGAGGAGGGGCACGACATAACAGTAACTTACACAATTGACGGCACTGACACCTACACCATCCCCTTCAGTGCAGCAAGGAGATACTGCTGCCAGCGGCTGCTGTCTTATTTGATTCGCCGCACGACCTTCAGGACCCCCCGGGGGGGCCAAGACGCAGCAGCAGCAGCAGCAGCAGCAGACGCAGCGGGAGCCGAGGGCAGCAGCAGCAGCAGCAGCAGCGGCCACCCCGTCACCACTTGTGCTGCTGATGATGGATCTGTCGAAGAGTGCGCAGCAGACAGAGCAGACCACCTGGTGGAGAAGAGCGAGGTGTATGTACAGACAGACGAAGTAAAGAGCAGCAAACCAGCAGCAGCAGCAGCAGCAGCAGCAGCAGCAGCAGGGGACGAAGACCCGCAGTATTCAACCAGCAGCAACGGCAACAGCAGCAGCAGCAGCAGCAGCAGCAACGGCAGCAGCACGAGCAACGAGAGCGGCATCAGGAACAAGAACGTTAAGAAGGACGACGCAGCAGCAGCAGCAGCTGCTGCTGCTGCTGCTGTTGCTGCTGCAGGGGAAGCAGCAGCAGCAGCGCGCAGCTGCACGTCGCCTTCTCCCGCCCCCGCCGTCGTAGACGTGGCCTGAGCCCGAAGTGAAGTTTTACAACAAATGGATTTAATTTTGGAATTAATTTTGGATTTAATTCAAAAGAACTTAAATGGATTTAATTCGAAAATGAAAAGAAATAATTAGAAGACAGCAGCGCCAGACGCGCGGCGCTGCGCATTTGTCTATCCGCAGACGCTGTGCATGAGGTGTATGTCCACCGCAGCTGCTGCTGCAGCAGCGCTGCAGCAGCAGCCGAGTGCTGCTGCTGCTGCTGCAGCAGCGCTGCAGCAGCAGCCGAGTGCTGCTGCTGCTGCTGCAGGTAACGCAGCAGCGCATGAAGCTAATTTGTGCGCCGAGGGCAGGCTAGGGTTTGCTCGTGTAGTTTCTTCGTCTGCAGCGGCTGCTGCAGCATAAGCTGCTGCTGCTGCTGTTGCTGCTGCTGCTGCTGTTGCTGCTGCTGCAGCTGTTGCAGCAGCGGCCTTGGTGAATGCGTTGATGTGGGAGACAAAACAAATGCACGACAAACACAAGAGTGTTGCTTCGCAGCGGCTGCTGCAGCTGCTGCTGCAGCTGCTGCTGCTGCAGCAGCAAAGCTGCAAGAGCTTTGTGGTTCCGATCTTTGTTCCTTTCTTTTTTCTTTCGGGGCAGCAGCGCAAAGAGAGAGCCCCGGGAACCAGGTGTACGTACAGCCCAGAGCGCTGGGGTGTACGTACACCTCAACTTGCAACTCCGTTCCGTCCTCGCATTTCTTTTGTTTCGAATCTGCTGCGCGGCGAAGGGGCTGCAAATTGCTTTTATTTGTCATTCCTCGCTTCATTTATCATTATTTGTCATTATTTCTTTTTATTTCCGTTTATTTCTTTTTATTTCCTTTTATTTTTCTTTTTATTTCCCTTTGCCGTTCGCTTTCCCGAAGTTCCCTTCGCCCTGCGCTCGGGTGTATAGGCAGCTCACGCGTCCGTTTGCATCGCCGCGCCGTCGCCGCCGCCACAAGTATTCAAGTTGGCACTTTCGTCGCCGTTATTATCTCCATTATTGCCATTATTTCCACTATTATTGTCACAATTACTATTATCATTATTATTATTATTATTATTATTATTATTATTATTGTTATTATTGTCGCTGCTGCTGTCGGCGGCGTCCTGCGTCCAGCCGACGACTACGGGGCCTTCTTCCCCCTGCAGCGCCAGCAGCAGCTGTTCCATTTCGGAGAAGTTTTTCATTTCTCCTTTTCTCTTTTCGTCCGTTTTGAAAAGAATCCTCACGAGTTCGCAGAGCCGCCCTGCTGCTGCTTCCACTTCTCGGTACTGCGGCTCCAGCGCCGCCAGCTGCGCAGCCACCGCCCTGTCTATTTCCGCTTCTGCTGCTGCTGCTGCTTCTGCTGCTGCTGCTGCTTCTGCTGCTGCTGCTGCTTCTGTTGCTGCTGCTTCTGCTGCTGCTGGTGGCTGCTGCTCTTGTTCTGTTTGCATTGCCTCTGGGCGGGGGTCGTGGGTTTCCCGGCGTCTGGCGGCTGCAGCTTTGGCTGCTGCAGCAGCAGCAGGCGCTGCTGCTGCTGCTTCTGCTGCTGCTGCCAGTTGCTGCTGCTTCAGCGCGGCCCTGGCGGCTTGCCTGTCGACGCTGCAGCAAAACTCCAGCAGCGCAGCGCAGCAGCTCGTCAGCAAATTGTTTTGCTGCAGCGGCTCCAACTCCGTCAGCTCGTCGGGGGCTTGTTCCAGCTGCGCGTAGAAGGTGTCTATGAACTTGCTAAACAGCTCTGCAGCAGCAGCAGCAGCAGCAGCAGCAGCAGCAGCAGCAGTTCGCAAGTCTGCATTCTGCTTGCTGCCGAAGAGCACACGCAGCAGCAGCAGCAGCAGCAGCAGCGGAACAGCGCGCGGCTCAAAAGGACAGCAGCAGCCGCAAAACAACGCGCAGCTCAAAACAGCAGCAGCAGCAGCAGCAGCAGCAGCAGCAGCAGCAGCAGCAGCAGACCGGGGTAGAGGTAGAGGGCCCTTTCGGAGTTGGAGACGAGCTGCAGCAGCTCCTTCCAGTGCAGCAGCGAGGGGTAGTGGTGGCAAAGAACAACAGCAATAAAAGCCATTTGGAGTTCCGCAAGAACAGCAGCAAAGCCTTCTTCTTGTTCTCGAATGAGCTGCAGCAGCAAGTCCGTGCGGTCGGTGCACTGCGCAGTCACTGCAGCAGCAGCAGCAGCAGCAGCAGCAGCAGCGTCCAGGCCCGTGCGCCGCGCTGCTGCTGCTGCGCGCCGCGCAGCAGCAACTGCTGCGCTCCGCGCAGGCCGCAGGTCCATGTAGAACATGCGGCAGGAAGCAGCTTCTGCTGCTTCCCGCTTTTCCCTTGCTGCTTCCTCTGCTGCTGCTGCTGCTGCTGCTTCCTCTCCCGCTGCTGCTGCTGCTGCTGCTGCTGCTGCTGCATCATCATCGCCGGCCTCAGCAGCCTCGCCGTCTTCGCGCTTCGCCGCCGCCTCCCCGCGCCTCCGCGCCCGCCGCCGCTGCTGCTGCTGCTGCTGCTGCTGCTGCTGCTGCTGCTGCAGCAGCAGCAGCTCGTGGGGCGCGAGGGGCTGCCCCTGGGCCTCGAGGCAGCGGCCGAGGGGCTCCACGCGGGCCACTGCAGCAGCAGAAATGTGGGCGGAGAGGGCCCGCCACTGGGGGCGGAGGAAGCTGGGGTAGAGGCCAAGGCCTGGGAGGAACTCGAGGCGGTTTGCTGCTGCTGCTGCTGCTGCTGCTGCTGCTTCCTGCAGCGGCAAAAAGCGCCCCAGCTGCGCACTCCACTCCCGCACGATGGTTTGCTGCGCTGCACTGAAGTGCAGAAATTCGCCGCGCTGGCTGCTGCTGCCCAGCGCCTCCTCCACCCGCATTCGGGTGTACGTACACCCCGCCGCCGCCGCTGCTGCTGCTGCTGCTGCTGCTGGCGCTGCTGCTGCTGCTGCTGCTGGTGCTGCTGCTGCTGCTGCTGCGGGGGTGGTCCAGTGCAGGAAGTGGCAGCCCACGTCGATGTTGCGGATGCCTTTGAACTTCGGCCCCACCCGCCACTGGGCCAAGTCGAGGCCCAGCAGCAGCTGCTGCGGCGTCCGCAGCAGCAGCAAAGTGCAGCCGCTGCTGAGGCTTTCTGCGGTGACCCGCGGGAACAGTTCTTCTTCCGGAGTTTCCATTCCACTTCTTTCTTTTCTTTCTTTTCTTTCTTTCTTTTATTTCTTTCTTTTATTTCTTTTATTTCTTTTCCTTCTTTCTTTTTTTTTCCCCGCAACAAACGGCCCCAGGGGCCCCCAGCTGCTGCTTCCGCCCCGCCTGCAGCGGCAGCCGGGGGGCCCCTGGGGGGCCCCGGGGGGCCCCCGGGGGGCCCCGGGGGGCCCCGGGGGGCCCCAGGGGCCGAAAGCAATGGAGAATAACTTGCAGCTTTCATTTTCTGTTTATTTTTGAGTTGTTTTTTGTATTTGTTTGGCATTTTATGCGGAGAAGCTACTTGGTTCTGGTCTATTTGTGCTGCAGCAGCAGCAGCGGCTGCTGCTGCTGCAGGCGCTGCTGCTGCTGCGGCCTTGTTTGCTGCTGCAGCGAAGCATTCATCCACAGACAGTAAATTGTAAAAGACTTTTAGGCATTTGGTGTTGTTTGGAAAGCAAAAGAGGATTTCTTTTGCAGAGCGAAACGGGCAGCTGCAATGCCCGCAGGTGCGGAGTTTCGAAAAGAGGAAAAAGAGAAGGAAATTCTTTTGGTTTTTGGGAACAATTCAACAAAACTTTGAATTATATTTCAACTATTTCGCAATTCGAATCCAATTCATGTTCAGTTTGCTGCCAACGTGAATTCCCATTTCGCCAGCGCTGCTGTCGATACACCTGAACAGCCTGAGCTGCGCATACACCTGAAACCGCCGCTCCAGCGCCCAGCCGAAAGCAGTTTCACTTTTTTGAATTTGCCTCTTTTGGCTTTAATTTTGGTTTTAATTTCTCTTTAACTGTTTTAATTTCAGTTTTACTTCTCGAATTTCAGTTTTATTTCTCGAATTTCAGTTTTTTTCCGCCAGTTTCGCCTTCACGTTTCCTGAGCCGTGCCGTCGCAGCACAGCGGCATGAACTTCAAATCTGCTGCTGAGTTGTTGCCAACTGAAGCAGCAAATAAAGACACCCGGTGGCCCCAGAGGAACCTTAAACTTGGCAGGCTTTGCTCCTGCTGCTCCTGCTGCTCCTGCTGCTCCTGCTGCTCTTGCTGCTGCTGCTCTTGCTGCTGCTGCTCTTGCTGCTGCTGCTCTTGCTGCTGCTGCTGCTGCGCACTCACGTGCCACTGCTGTTCCCCTTCCTGCAGGATCTTTTCCGCGCTCGCCGGATCTGCAGGATAATGAAACATAGAAAAGTTGTCCGACGCCCCTTGCTGCTGCTGCTGCTGCTGCTGCTGCTGCTGCTGCTGCTGCTGCAGTGTGTGTAGTATTCCAGTTTCTGCTGCTGTTGAAATTGTTTTGGAGAAAGGGAGAAGATGGAATTGGTCGGGCGAGTTATTTCGCTCGGAGTTTTGCGAATCCGACAGAGAATCGTCTGACCCCATGTTGCTGCTGCCGCTGCTGTTGCTGCTGCTGCTGCTGCTGCTGCTGCAGCTGTAGCTGTAGCTGCTGCTGCTGCTGCCTGTGTTGTCGGTGGTGTTGCTCCTGTCGCTGTGCTGCCCTTGTGCTGCTGCACTGTTGGTAAAGCTGCGAATGAATGAAAGCTCCTCCTGCAGTTCTTGCTGGCTTTGCTGCTGTTGCTGCTGCTGTTGCTGCTGCTGCTGCTGCTCTTGCTGCAGCAGCAGCTGCTGCTGGTGAGGCAGCGCGCATGGGCGCGCAGGGCTGTCTTGGACGAGCTGCAGCAAAGACTGCTCAATGAGGACAGCACATTCGTTGCTGCTGTCCTCCTGCTGCTGCTCCTGCTGCTGCTGCTGCTGCTGCTGCTGTTCCTCCTCCCGCTGCTGCTCTTGCGTTTCGAGCGCCACAGTCCTACTGTACTGCTCCTCCTCATTCCACATCTGAAACGACTGCTGCTGCTGCTGCTGCTGCTGCTGCTGCAGGGGAATGTGCATTAGGGGCGTTGGGTAGGATTTATCTGCTGCTGCTGCTGCTGCTGCTGCTGCTGCTGCTTTTCTGGGCATTTTGGAGTTTCTGTTGCTGCAGGGCGGAGACAGCCTGTGGACGGCCTGGGGGGACTTGGCGTCTCTTTCCAGCGCGTCGTACTCCGCAAAGAAGCTGCTCCCAAACTGCTGCTGCTGCTGCTGCTGCTGCTGCTGCTGCTGCTGCTGCTGCTGCTGCTGCTGCTGCTGCTGCTGGAGCTGGAGGTGGTTCATTCGCGTGTCCGCAAAGAATCGTGCCTCCCCGTGCTGCTGCTGCTGCTCGTCGCTCTCCGCCCAGGGCGACTGCCTGTCCCTGTCCCTCTCCCGCTGCTGCTGCTGCTGCTGCTGCTGCTGCTGCTGCTGCTGCTGCTGCAGCTGGGGGAGCGGGACGAGCGCGCGGAAGCTCCAGGCGGCGCTGCTGGGGAGCAGCGGGGGCTCGGCCATGGGGCAGCGCTGCTGCTGCCAGGGGCTGCTGCTGCTGCAGTGCAGCGCAGCACCTTTTGGCAGCAAAAAGTGTTTGGCCTGGACGAAGGTGCAGTGCTCGTTGGCCCGCGGGGTGTACAGACGGTAGAAGCGCGAGAAGGGCGGCGCCAGCAGCAGGTCCTGCAGCTTGGGGTGTCCGTACACCGCAGCGTCCAGCCGCTCCCGAGTGGTCCACTGGACCAAATCTTTAAGTTGTGCAAGAAAGACCCCGAGGGGTTCGGGGTCCACTACGAGCCGCAGCACGCGCAGCAGCGCTGCTGCTGCTGCTGCTGCTGCTGCAGCGCGGGGGGCGGAGGCTTCGCGCTGCTGCCGCAGCAGGAACTCTCTTGCTGCTGCAGCAGAAGCAGCTACTGGCACTAAGGCTTTCTCTCTATAAGTCAAAACTCCAGCCCAAGAAGCTAATTGGACCATTCGAATTAAATCCCCAAGTCGCCAGTCTTTGAAGGCCGGGATTTGCTGCCGCAGCTGCTCGGCCAAGGCGTAGCGGCCTTCGCAAAATGCTGCTGCTGCGGACCCGTTCTTGCTGCGCAACTTCTCGATGAAGTACCTGCAGCAGCAGCAGCAGCAGCAGCAGCAGCAGCAGCAGCAGCAGCAGGGGGTGGGTTTTGGTCAAGGGGAGGCGCTTGTGGGAAGAGAACGGAAGTGCAAATTGAAATTAATTTAATTTTTATTTGAAGTGGATTTTGGAGGGGAAGGGAGCCGCAGTGTTTCGGAGTCATTCAATTTAAATAAGGAAACAAATAAAATAATTAAACAAACAAAATAATGAACAAATAAAGTAATTAGATAAAAGAATGAAACAAAATAATGAAACAAATAAAAGAATAAAATAATAATAAATGAACAAATGAAGCAACTTCGACTTCTTGAATTAATCTGCTGCTTTGTTGAACGCAATTTTCTCAAATAAGCCAACAAATAAAACAAATAAAACAAATATAACAAATATAACAACAAATAAAACAAATAAACCAACAAATAAAACAAACTCGACAAATAAAAAGGAAAGCAGACTCGGGGAATTCGCCCGCGTTTTTCGGGTGTCTGTACACCCGAAAAACGCGGCACTTCGCACTCTTTGAACGCGCTGTTTCCAAACAAGTCCAAAACCAAATGAAATAACTGAAATAAACAATAAAACAAATGAAGTAAATGAAATAAATGAAATAAATGAAATAAATGGAATAAATGGAACAAAACAACTCCCCAAATCCCGCAAAGAAGGCGCCGGAGTGCCTTCTTGAGCCGTCTGTACACCCAAACGGCGCTCCAAAAGCGCGATCCGCCATTCCAAACGAATTAATTTCAACCAAATAAAAAACAGAATCAAAAAAAAGAAAAAAAAGAAGAAAAAAGAAGAAAAAAGAAGAAAAAAGGAGAAAACGGACTTGTTGAACTCGAGCCACTGCTGCTGCGTGTACTGGTTCTCGCGGGCCCGGGTGTCTATAAACCCCGCGAAACCCTCGGGCACCAGCTCGGGCTGCAGCAGCAGCAGCCAACCATTTTCTCCCTTAACTCTTTTTTCTACTTTTGGCAGCACTTTGCTGCTGCTGCTCATGGCCAAAGCGAGGACTTCGGGGGGCCCCCAGCTGCTGCTGTCCGTCTTTTTGCGGAGTTGATGAGCCACTTCACCTGCAAAGGGCTTTATGCCTTCTTTGTAGAGAAACTGGAGGCAGCAAACCAGCTGCTGCTGCAGCAGCAGCAGCGCGGGGGGCCCCCGCTGCTGCAGCAAGCTGCACAGGGGGGCCCCCTCCACCCGCGGCAAAATGCTGCCGTCGCTCAGCAGCAGCACATCCACTCCCGCCACTCTTTGCTTCTGCACTTCCTTTTGCTGCTGCCGCAAAATGCTGCGGAAGCTGCCGTCCCCCACGGGCTGCAGACACAGGCTGTTCAGCGGATACGGCAGCCTGCTGCTGCTGCTGGGCTTGCGGTGGAAGGGTTTGCTGCTGCTCTCCAGCTGCGGAGGGTACGGCGGCGGAGGGTGCAGCTGCTGCTGCAGCTGCTGCTGCAGGTGCTGCTGCAGGTGCTGCTGCTGCTGCTGCAGGTGCTGCTGCTGCTGCTGCTGCTGATGCACACCCGCGCCGGCCTTCCGCAGCGAAGCCCCAAACGCAAATGCGCTGGGGGGCGGCTGCCGCTGCTGCCGTGCTGCAGCACGCTGCAGCACGTGCTGCTGCTGCTGCTGCTGCTGCTGCTGCTGCTGCTGCTGGTGAGAATGAGGGTGAGAGTGGGGGTGAGGGTGCAGCGCGTGGGGGTAGTTGTGCTGAACTGCTGCTGCTGCTGCTGCTGCTGCTGCTGCTGCAGCAGGGGGGGGAGGCAGCCCGTGGGCACTGCTGAACTGCTTGCGAGAAAAGTTGGGACTTTTGCGTTCTTCGGAATTTATTATTTTGATTTCTTGAAAGTGCTTCGGCCGGCGCTGCGGAGGAGAGGGCGGGGGAGACATCTGCTGCTGCTGCTGCTGCTGCTGCTGCTGCTGCTGCTGCTGCTGCTGCTGCTGCTGCTGCATGCTGATTGGCTTCAAGGGACTCGAATGAGTGCGATAAACTTTTGCAGATAAACCAGCCGTAGAAGAAGGCTCAGGTGTACGGACAGCTGCTGAGGCCCGGGGGCCGACTGGGGGCGAGGAAAGGCTGCCGCTGCTGCTGCTGCTGCTGCTGCTGCTGCTGCTGCTGCTGCTGCTGCTTTTCGCGGCGGTGAGGCTTGTGTTCCTGCTGCTGCTGCAGCTGCTGCTGGTGGTGGTTGTGGCTACGCCCGGCGGGGTCGGGGCAGCAACGGGCGGGGCCTGCTGCTGCTGCTGTGTCTTTGCACAAGCAGCAGCAAAACAAGCCCCAGAAGAAGGTGGCCGTTGCTCAGGTGGTGCTGCTGCCGCTGCTGGCTCAGGAGGCGGTGCTGCGGCTGCAGCAGCAGCAGCAGCAGCAGGCGCAGCAGCGGAATCGCCGCTGTTGCTGCTGCCGCTGCTGCTGCTGCTGCTGCTGCTGCTGCTGCTGCTGATTCCGAGCCTTCCTGGTGCTCCTGTTGACTCCTCCTCCGGCTCGAGAAAGTTGGAGAGGCTGTACACCTCAGAGAGCGCGGGGAAGGCGGCAGCGTAAGAAGCCGACTGTGTGCCGAGTTGTTGCATTTCCGACTTTGCAGATTTTCGTCAAGAAGAGGAAAAAGAACAAACCTGAAAAGAACTCGGCAGGTCCGAGCTCGAAAAAACAAATATTACAATTTTATTAACAAAGAAAAGGGAAGAAAACGGTCCAGAGGGCCAATTACGAACAGACTGCGACTGGAAACGGCCGCCAAGACAGCGAGGTCACTTGGGGTGGAAAGCGGGCGAAATTCCCTCTTCGGAGGGAAAGAAGGAGAAATATGAATTGCAAAAAAAGATGTTTTTGCTTAAAGAAGCCAAAAAAAGGTGAAAACGTCTCGGAAATGCGAAGATCGACTGGTCTGTTGTGTTTCTGCTCGTCGTTCAACTTCAAGTGGAAAGCGGGACAATTCTGCCGGAACTTTGGCAGAAGTCGCAAACAGAGAAAGCAAAGAATAAAGAGACAAATGCGGTGAGTTTTTTGATATTTTTTTTGAATTTAATTGCAAAGAAAACCGCAAATTCTCACTTTGCAGAATGCCAACACGGAAAGCTGGGGGGGGGCAACAGCCCGCGCCCGGATAGGCCATTGGTCCACCTGCGCGTACACCCCACTTGGGAGCTCTTTCTCCCGAAACTCCTCGTTTTCTTTTCACTTTTTAATTTAAATATTATTATTACTTTTATTTCAGCAGATATTTGGGGAAAAAGCGCAAAAAGTAGCTCAGAAGTCACTGCGCGGCGCCTTCGCCGCGGTGTTCTGAAAGCTCCTTCAGGTTCCACAGGCCCTACGAAGCTCCGGCAAACTTGAATTCAATTTAAATGCATTTCAACAATTCAAAACTAATTTTCAAAACTCTTTTAAATCCATTTTCCTCTTTAGCGGAGGATCCGCAGCAGCAGGCGAGCTCCAGCTCCCCCAGAAGCAGCAACAGCAGCACAGGCTCAGCTGCCTACAGCTAGCCACACATAAGTATAATTGGCCCCAGCTAGCCACAGCTAGCCACAGCTAGCCACAGCTAGCCGCAGCTAGCCATAGCTAGCTGCAGCTAGCTGCAGCTAGCCGCAGCTAGCTGCAGTTTATGCTGGAGGCGTTTCGGTGGCTTCTGGGGGTACGTACACCGGAGTGTGGGAAAAAGGGAAATTAAGAGTCGAATTTTTCATAAATGAAAATCATTTTAATTTGTTTTTATTTGTTTTTACTTTTATTTATTTATTTCTTTCTTTGCTGCATTTATTTCAACTGTTTTCGCCTGCGATCACCCACCAGACCCTGCTGCCTGCTCCGCTCAACCCCCCTAAAATCCCGAAGCCCTAAAGCCTAAAGCCTAAACCCTAAACCCTAAACCCTAAACCCTAAACCCTAAACCCTAGCTGATAAGCAGCTTGATTCATTAGCTGCTGCAGCAAGAAGTGCATTTTTAATTTAATTTTTAATTTGAAAAAAGACAAGTTTGAAATAACAAAAGAAATGCCAAAAGCGGAAACTTTGAATAAATAAATAATTAATTATTTGCTTTTTATTTATTATTAAAATCAATTAAATTAATTTCCAATATTTCTTCTAACAAAGAAACTTCTTTTGCTGCTGCTTTGAACTTCAAACTAATTTCAAATTAAATTGCTTTTGCAGCTAGAAGACCACAGAAAGCCACTCAACAAAACCCTAAACCCTAAACCCTAAACCCTAAACCCTAAACCCTAGTGCCTAAACCCTAGATTCTAAACCCTAAATTCTGACTTGGCGCGTCTCCCAAGCGCATTTATTCTTTTAATCAAAAGTGGCATTTATGGCCATTCTTTCAAGTTCAGCTGAAACAGCAGCAGCAGCAGCAGCAGCAGCTGCTGCTGCTGCTGCTGCTGCAGCAAATGCAGCAGCAGCAGCTGCTGCTGCTGGCATTGCTGCTGCAGCAAATGATGGCGTTAAGCAGCTTCCCGCCATCTTTTTAATCCCACATTGACAAAAACAAAAAAAGAAATAAACTTCCAAAAAGACCAGCAGCTGCAGCTGTCTGCATGCGTTGCGGGGTGTACGTACACCGCAGCAGCAGCAGCAGCAGCAGCAGCAGCAGCAGCAGCAGCAGCAGCTGCAGCAGCAGCAGCAGCAGCAGCAGTGTAGGCAAACTTAGTTCATAAACCCGAAGTACTTTGCAGTTCGCAACTTGCACTTTGCGGGAATGCCTAGTTGCCGTTTGCTGCTCTGTCCGTGCCCCTCAAATCCCAAACCCTAAACCCTAAACCCTAAACCCTAAACCCTAAACCCTAAACCCTTAAATGATGCTTCTGCTGGCAATCAAGGGCTTATATCCTTTGTCTCTCAACATTCCCAAGTACCGCAAACTCTCTCCAGCAAAGGCGCACTGAAATACACAACACAAACCCTAAACACCAAACCCTAAACCCTAAACCCTAAACCCTAAACCCTAAACCCTTGCACAAAGTGCCGAAGCAAATAGTCAGGCAAGCGAAATGAACTTTAGGGTCTTCCCAAAATGGGCTCCGGAGTTCAAGTGCCGCTTCGCTGTTGTGGCACTAGGGTTTAGGGTTTAGTAGGGTTTAGGGTTTAGTAGGGTTTAGGGTTTAGTAGGGTTTAGGGTTTAGTAGGGTTTAGGTTTAGTAGGGTTTAGGGTTTAGGGTTTAGAGTTTGCTTGCCTGGACAGATGCGCCATTCTGGATAAATACTGCAGGGTAAACTTCGCCTCTTATCCCTGCGTTTGCAAAACAAGTCAAATTAGGGTTTAGGGTTTAGGGTTTAGGGTTTAGGGTTTGGGGTTTCAGAAAAGACGCGAAAAAGTGCAACTGATGTGAAAACCCTTCCCTTCTTTCGCCTTGCCTAGCAGCAGCTAAAACGTGGGTTCTCTGCACTTTATATTTAGGGTTTAGGGTTTAGGGTTTAGGGTTTAGGGTCTAAGCCTTTTTTGGCTAACCCCAAACCCTAAACCCGAAACCCTAAACCCTTCATTTATATTTTTACAATTGTCTATTCCTCTACGAGTCCATTGAACCAACCTCCCCGCTAAACCCTAAACCCTAAACCCTAAACCCTAAACCCTCATCACTAAAACCTTGAAGATCTTCTTTCGACCCAAGACCCTAAACCCCGGACACAACCCCCAAACCCTAGACCCTAAACCCTGAATCCTAAACCCTAAACCCTAAACCCTAAAAGAGCGTTTAGTGGACCCTCGACCCTCAACTTTCGACCCATAATCCCAATACTGCCTCGGGCGGTTTACGTTCGCGTCCGCGTAGTACCGCGCCACGTTTGGCTGCGCTGTCTTCCAAACTGCCCCTCGTGAAGCGCCACCTGGAGGCCTTCGCAGTCACTATTCTCGC